ACAGAATTCCTGTTAAATTATAATTAAAAATATTAATTAATAATATAAATAACATAGCTAAAAAATTGAGTTATGGTAACTAATATTATTTTCCGCGTTCGATTTCTATCGCGAAATGAAATTCCGTGTGCGGAAATAGTTGAAGAAAAAAAAAATAAACATAGTTGCGCAAAATCTTTCGAGAATAGCTAAAGACTCAAACATTGCAAACCTCGCTTTGGACGATGCGTCAAAGAGTTTCATATGCCGAAAGGGATAAATGTGTCCTTTCGTTAGACATGCGGTTGCATAAATGAGAAAGAGAGAGAAGATTCGCGTGTCTCAATTGAATCGGCGAGAAGGAGAGAGAATGAATCGCGCATCGCCGCGTGGCCGCTCGATTTCCGTGAAAGTCATCACGACTAATTAGCGTAATGACAATCAACTAAAGAGAGGACTGCTGCGGCTGCAGCACCGGCGACTCTATGAGCACGCAAATTATTGAAATCTACGTCGTGTCGGGGACACACAACGGGTGCAAATTGCATCGGGTGCTATTGTCAGTTCGTCGTCGGTTGCGAAGTTCGTCAGCGAAGTTATTTCTGGAACGTACGAAATTATTCGATACGGTATGCGCGCGCGCGTCATCCCCTGGAAAATTCCTTCCTAAACAGCGTACGTATGCGCGTAGTTATGATGCTTTAACTGCATGAAATGCGGTTGTTTTGGCTTGATATCGCGCGCGCTCGCGATTTCTCGTTATTTTCCCTATTCATTCTTATATCCAGTCCGGTACACGCGTGGTCTATTTTTCTCAAAACAAATTTGCTCGTTAATTGGACGGTCCTATGCAAAGGAAAACAATTCACTCACGCGCACTGTGATTTAATGAGGCATTTCAGAACTCCATCAGAGAGTTTGTGTGTGCTATTTTGAAGAAAGACTGATGAAATTGTTAAAGTAATTATCATAACTGATGTGAAGACATAACGGAAACAAAACTGATCCGATAAAAAGAAATAGAAAAATTTGCACGTGAATAAAATTCTCGTTCCCTACGTATGCAGTTTTTGCGAAGATTGCGCGATAAAATCAAAGAGATCGTGCGTAACGTCACGCTTCTGGATCAAAGTTTAATCAATCTCTATTTATGCGTATCACCGGATTTGCTGGTTTATTTTATCCGCAACTTCGTTCATTTCATTTGCACTTGTGTGTTCAGATCTTGTCGAGGATTTCCGTGTAATTTGTTTTGATATACATATATATTTTTGTCGTTAAGGAACATCTCTCGATGAATGCGCGTGTGAAAATTTATACGCTTTATGCACAACCGGCTACCCTCTGGGTAAGCTCACAATCAAATACGGATGTATGTTTATGTATGTGTGTATATATATATATATATGCGTGTTTCCGTGAACGAGCCGACGAAGCATCAGGAGTCGATCGATTTATCACGGGGTTGATTGGCGGACGATGCGAACAAGTTTAATTCAGCCGAATCATTAATCGACGACGTCGATAAAATTGGGTCAAGTGTCTCGCATATATTGGTCGATTACACATTCAATGAAAAATTGATTCGCGATGATGCATCCGATATTTGTCGAACAAAATAATTTTGAAAAATAGTGCTTGTTTGATGTGAACACAGAGAGAATTTTCTCTCAGAATTTACCCTGAAAATCATGATAATCATGAATAATATGGTATTGGAAGAATTTTATAAAAATTTTTTTGATTAATATTTATTACAAAAAAAATATTAATATGTACATAGTAAATTTTAGTATGTACATAATTAATTAATCGAACATATTTTATATTTTATATATTACTATTTTTATTGTGGTAAATATTAATCAGAAAAATTCTTATAAAATTCTTCTAATACCATGATTTTCAGGGTAAATTCTAAGAGAAAATTCTCTCTGTGTGCATATATATTTTTAAACATTTTAAATAACTATATTTAAATATAAATTCTATACTCTTGTTATCAAGAAACTAAAAAATATTAGTTTTAATGCATGCCCGAAAATTCTACGCTGTGTTAATTTGATTAGCATTGTTATCTAGATTTCAATTCCACGTGTGATAAATTCAAGATGAAACTTCCTGTCGAGTAGTTAGAAATATATGTAGGGAAAGCTTGCACGATGACGCATTGCACGTATCACATTTCCGATAGTGCAAATGAATTATACGAATGCTTAAAATATTGCGCAGACGAGGAGATAAACAACGAGCATTTTTCATATTTAACTTTCTACGTGTTTGACTAGTAAAGTGATGAAACAAATTATCCCGTTATATTTAATTAATGATTGAATAGCGACTGTGAAAATTTCGCGGAAAGGTTATAGCGAAAAATTTCAATTTTATATAATAGGATTTACGATAAGAATTTATAATAAAAAAAATCATCCGCTCTCTGATTTTAAATATACAATTTTTGAAAACAAATAAATACAAACAAAATAGAATAAGTATAACGAAATATAACAATATTTCATATTTTTTCACCAAATCGAATCCGGAAACCTGCCAGAGTTCCATCGTTTAATTATTCTCGCGTCAGCTTTACTTCGTTTTTTAGCAAAATTTTCCGCAACGAACCTATTTACCATTCGCGCACGATTAATTCGGCAAATAAATAGCCTCCTTGAATATCGCAAAATAATTGGGTGCTAACACTGCCAACCGTAAAATCAAATCAATTCTATAATAACCTAAAATAAATACATCTCTCTCCAATTGATTCATTAATTCATATTTATTTATCGCAAATATTATCTTTGAATGTTTAATAATTGTGAAGCGCACAATTTATAGCACATATATAATTCGCTATTAATTTATATTAATTTTTTTATAAATTACAACTTAACTCAATATTATTTTATATTTTATCATATATATATATATATTTTAGTGAGATCTATCATTTTAATTTGATCATTTACGGCAGACATTTTCCTGATTAAGTTTCTCTAATCCTATAATAAGAGACTATCGCGAATGTAGAATGCATAATGCTTTACTAACATAAGCGGATAACTTTATGAGCATGTAAAAACGATTTCGCCTATATATCAATCAATGCAATGTCCGACTAGCAAAATTGGTTTCTTGCCCGCGACTTTGCGAAGCGATCGAGCACAGATTACGGCTTTGTGCTGTCGCTTATATGTATACTACATCCGTTCTCTACGGACAGCAATTTACGAGTTATATCACTGAACGATAATAAACTTTGGATATATCTGGCGTGGCGGGTTGACGCGAAGATAGATGGGACAACTGGCACATAAAATTACTACTGCGGCTGGGAATGAAATGTAATTTGTGAGCCAGTAAGTGCTAAAATGACACGGTTATACGCGGCGAGATCGATCAGAACACACGCGGATTCGATTAACGCGGACGACGATCACCGTTTCGCGGAAAGTTTTCGGGTTATAACCTTTGATTTCGATTGCGTGGAAATGGTAGCTGGGATTTTTCCAGTTTTCCAGGTAGAAACGATGGCTCAGCGTGTACCAATCGCCAATCTGCTGACCGTGCTGGACAAAACGTTATCACGCTCTGTATTCTCGTTCGTCCCGTATCGGTAAACGATTATCCGATTTTACGAACCATAATATGCGTATTTACGAGGTCGCCCAGCAACGGACGTATTTATCGAATACACGATTTCGCGGCAATCGTGAATATTTTTATTTGCTAGTGGGACTAGTGATGTGTTTCTGCAAGCGCGATTAAACAATCCATTCTCTTTATGCCTCGTTTTTCAATACTGCATATATAAGTTATTTCGGGGCTTTATTCGAGCCTTTCTCTATAGATTCTTTGTGCGAGAGTAATTTGTGAAAAGCGAATATTTCTACGGCCAAGATTTTTTAGACGTAAATATTTTCCAAGTTACAAGCAATTAAAATTAAACGACCTTTCATGGAGGATTAAGCGCCTTTGCAGCGATACAAAGCGGACATTTCTTATTCAATATTTCTCGCGCAATTTATCTTTCAATTAAATGTTAAAATTGAGAAACGAGAAATTCAATCAGAACCCGCGATTACCATATTATACTTATATTTTACTTATATCATCATCCAATATAACGTAAAATATTTGATCGTGATAAAGTTGAATCGAGCTATTCGAATATTCGTGATACGTGATTATCTCGTTAGGTATTCATTAAAGATCTAAACGCGTATACTGGTGATAGTCTAGCAGTCGGAAGACGAAGAATCTCTCGAAAGCCTTATACACAACTATATTTACTGAAAATATATCGCGCTTTATCTATTTACCGTTTTCGGTAGTTATAATTCACTCTCCGTTTGACTAAAAAATTAATAAAATAAAAAAATTAATTTCTTCTCGTTTCTTCGACAAATTCATAATCACGTTTCTAACGATTTAAATTCGATTTTGCATCCCCTATTCTACGAGACGCCTGATCGTTATAGCCCGAAGGAGCTACCAAAGTGACACAGGTATGATGAATATGAAAATATTATATCGAGGCGAGTGTTCGACGATGTGTGAATACACAAGCGAGGATAGTTGACATCCGCGATCGGCTCTAGGCTAACGAAGGAAAGGAAAATCTGTCCGCCCGTTCTGTCCGCAAACGCTTGAGGCGGCACGTGAATCTTCGTTCGCGCATTAATCCACATTCACGCTTCGGGATTATGCGCGAAAGAAATAAATTTTCACGCGCTCGGTTCTTCTTATGCAGCTATTCGGTATAAGGCAATTAATATTCGCGTAGAACAATAATTACTTACGAGATCAATTAAGATTGTTTCTTGTAGGAATAAATTATAAGCATAGATGTAGAAATATATTTTGCAATATGAGAATATTGAAGTATTATCTGTACGAAATCGTATCTATTGGATTTTGTTTAAAAATCAGTACGCTATTTTTACATATTTTGTTAAATTTTATATGCGATTTGATCATCAGCATATATATATTTTTTTGCACTTACATATGTGATGGTGAAAAGATTGGTCTTTAAGGGTGGACAAATTTTCCATCCAGTCGTGATACTATATTGCACTTACCTAAAACAAAGAGAAAAGAAAGACATTATTAATTTGTTATATTAATTGTTATCATTACATGCGGTTCTAAAGTATATGAAATAAATTTCACGAGAATTATAATATAAAAGATCACTTTTTATTTTATTTCATCTCTTATATAAGAAAATAAATTAATTTCATTTATATATTAAATTCATAAAAATAATGAGTCTAAATTTAAAATTCTTATTTGACGTTTCTTATTAATTACAATATTATAGTTTTAAATCAAATTGAATACTTAAAACGTCGCTAGTGGTATTTAAAATAGAAACGATATATTTAATTCGACCCAAACTAGCCAAGAAATTTTTATTTTATTTCCACATAAAATAAAAATTTCTTGGCTAGTTTGGGTCGAATTAAATATATCGTTCCTATTATAGTTTTGTTTTTCCTACATATATAATATTTATATTTAATGTCGCTCTCTCGTATATGCGTATATATACTCGTATTTTCACATACTTAGAAATCTGTCGATTAAGATGTAATAAGTTCGAGGCACACTTAGGAAATTTCGTAATTGCTTACACCCTAATCTATTATGGTTGATCGACATTCTCAGCATCATCGACACACTCACAACTTTCCTCGCGCAACCGGCGCGGCGAGAAGAGACCAGGCGCGTCCAATTTGCTGGCTAATCGGCCCCGGCCACGGGGTTAAACATCCGCCCTCGGTCATCCACGAGGTGCGTTTACGTGCTGAACGCGACTAACTAGCCATTACTTTTTGATTTGTGCGCCGGAGTTTGCGCTGCACGCGCTCGGTGCACCCTTTTATTGCTCGCTTTAGGCAGCCCGATGCGGCAGCAACAGCAGCGACAGACGTTGCACGTCGACCTTGCGAGAATGCACGTGCTCTTCTCCCAAGAGCATCGACGCGCGGAGAGAAAATGGTCCCGATCCAGCAGGATCCAAGGGCAGGTGGCGAGGGAGTACGAGGCATTGATACTTTTATTGCGGCCCTCTCTTGACTTAACGCGCAGTGTGTTGTACACAGGTATTTATCACAGTAACAACGTAGTCGTGTGCATCAGGAATTCGATACACCGGGAATATAAGGATTGTCTTCAACGCCACGGTAGTTAAAAACACGGGATCGAAGGCGATTCGGCAAACAATGCGAAAATATATATAATTATTTTTTTAAATATTAATTATTTGAACATAATGTCAACAATTTATATATACACACAATGGAAAATAAATATTTTAAAGATATTAATTTATTTATTAATATTAAATGATTTAATGTGTTATCTCTATAATTTAATAGAACTTATCCTCATTTATTTACTTGATCCTGCGATTACTATTAAGGGGATGCTGCCGTTGTTCTGTTTTATCGACTTTAAGTTAGGTTAGGTTTATCTTTTATTATATATGTTATCTCTATTGAGAGCGCCATATTTTGCGCACAAATAAACTGCAAAACTTTTGTATTAAATAAGTATTATTATGAGCTGATGCAAGAGCTGATAAAAAACTGTAATGTTTTAACTTTTGTAGTTTTTTTTATATACGAAATTATAGCGCTCCCCGTTCACTATTATTAGTACTTTAATTGTGAAGAAGGATTTTCCAATCTGTATAGTCAAAAAGAAAAGCCCTTGAACTCAAAGTCGATAAAACAGTCATGGTCAGCATCCCTTTAGTAGTAAATCTCCTAATTTTCAATCCAAATCTATTATTTCCGCGTATGCGGAATTAGAGAGTCCGCGGAGGAAACAAAACGAGCCACGGAGCTTTATTAAAGCAAGGCAATTTATTCGTATACGTCCATTCTGGAATAGCGCATCCTCGCGGGCATTAATTGCAAGGCGAAACTTATGTGCGAGAATGCCGCGAGCCACCACGCGTTTGCGTCGCTTTATCAGTGTCCGAGCGCGTTTCGCGCATAACTCTTTAATGTGGAGGGGACTACTTTTCAGACTTTTTAATTCTGGTGATCTTCCCCAGATCAGGGCGCGATATATACCGACTCATCTTCGTCTCACGACATATGGAAGGCACTATGTGCGACCAAATAAAAGCCTGGTCTGGAATTTTTGTTACATTCTATCAATGATTTTCTTGATGTAGCGCCAAAAAAAAGAACTAAATTTTCTGCCTCGCGGAAATTTAAAAGAGAAACGCAAGAAAATATAAAATGTATTCGAAATGATGACTTTCTTCTAACAAAATTGAAGCAATTGAAATAATTTAAAAGAACGAAGTCCAAGACTTTTGATTACTTACACGTATTAGTTAGCGTTAGCAGAGTAGTGCGTAACTTTTGAAATCTTGCGCATATAGGACAAGACGCAGATTTATTACGAATGTGCAGCGCATTAAGAACGCAATGGCAAAGAGAAAAGCAAAGCCGAAGCGAAGGAATTCATAGTGGAGGAGAGGTCGTTTTGTAATATATTGATATTTAATGATCTCCCTGGCGAAGTAGTTTACGATCGACGTATTTATTAAACGGCGCTGTTTATAAGGCCCTAACGTTTCTCCGATCAACTAACGAGCTGCATTGCAGACGCGAATACACTTACGCGGTGAAACGAAATAAAGACGCAATTTTATACGACACTAGGGGGAATCGTCAAGTCGAGTATGTGTATGTGTGTGTGTGTGAAGCTGACATATCATTTCATGGAAGATCATAAATAATTGAGATTCCTGACTTTATTTTCAATAGTTTTAAAGTTCTTGATAATTTAAGCAAATAGTTCTGGCGACTAAACCAAAGAAAATGCTTAAGGTCAACTTTATGCAGCATATCATTTTGTCCTATACAAAATTTTTCTTCTCAATAATTGTACAAATTTAAAATATTTATAGTTGCTCGAGAGATCTAAAAAAATTTCAACAAATATCTTACTTGAACATATTGAAGTAAAACGCCACTCGAATGATCTTTCATGAAACGATATGTCAGCTTCACACTCAAGTCGACGCGACGGTGTAAAATGTCGATATCCACTATCTTAAAATCATCTTTTTGCCAACAATTCAGTGATTTTGCAGCGATATGTGAACATAAACGTTTTATGTTCTCGGAAACAATAGATGAAAAAAATATTTGAGCTTGGAGAAAAATATGTGGTCAATTTTTTCTTTTATAAAAATAGTTAAAGAATTTTCAATTTTACACAATATCGCGTATATTTGGAGATATAATTAAACAATAATCATTAAAATAACTATTTATTCGATTTTATTATTTTTTTTTAGAAATGTTAAATTTACTTATGTGTAATGTAATTTATATTTATTGTATTTTATTATCTTTATTATATAAAATATATGATATTCGCTGTTTTTTCGTGACAGAATAAAACTTGAAAGTAGAATATTTATTCGCGCCAAGAGAATTCTATTTCTAAATGTTCTATTTCAAATTCCTACGCAAGATTATAAGTTAAGATCCATATTTATTTAGTGTACAATTTTTAACATCTTTTTATTCGACGTTTTGATATATGATCAAGTGAAATAGAGAAGTCGTAAGCCGTAATCATAGGGAAATGCCTTTTTGAACTCTATAGAGATGCGTCCCCAAGAGCACTTATTATTATATACCAATCGTAAATAAATATATTTTCTATGGACTTAATGCTACCCTCTCTCCTCGTTATTCTTTCCCTTTTCTCTTTCGTCGTCCGAGCACTAAAAATCTTCTTTTACTACGGCTGTTTGCGGTCTCTTTGTGACGCATACCGCTGCGGACGTCCGAGCTTGTCCAGCTACAAGACGCTTGTACGTATACGTTTCTCTTTGCCCTATTCCCTGCACCTAAAGCCGCTTCTCCTCCTCTCGCCATCCGCAGGGCGAAGACAGCCCTGGGGTGTCGTCTATCCCGAGAGAATTCTTTTGCTGGCCAACGAAACGAGCGGTTCTTGTTCTGGATGACAAATCCAAGACGCGCCGAGTGAATTAAAGCGGAAAGATTGTGAGGATTAAATGGAGATAGCGAGTAGAATATATAATAGTATATGTCAGACGGACTAGAGCATAAGTTAAACTAGAAAAGTATAATAAAGAAATTATACATATTAATTATTATAAAATATTTGAGATATCTAATAACTTCGCTAAATACATCTTCTTAATATAAGTGACAGAAGACATCTTTTTAATTTTTCGTGAATAATTGAAATCTTTTATTTGAGACATATACTGAAACAAAGTGAAAATATAAATCCCTAGAATAAAAATAAAATTACCACCAAAAAATAAAATTACCATAATAATATATATATATATATATATATATATATATATACTATGTATATAAATTTAGACGCGTTCGATTAATCCCGCGATGAAAACAAATTGGTGCGACAAGCAAGATATATTACTCTCGCCGTTACGGAGACATCGCGGATATATGCACCGAAAAAGAAAAGTGCATCATCGTATGAGCGCAGAGTAGAGAATTGCATGCTGCTGTCTTCGCTCTTCGGAGGACTATCGCGGTCGAGAGAAGGAAAAAGCATGATAATATTAACTTAACATGCACCCGCGCGCATTGTTATATGATAATGTATTTAAATGTCAACGAGTGCACGCGACCGTCTATGCAGAATTGTGCAGCCGCCGCTAATAAGTCGCTAATCCTAATGAGCGAAAAGTTTCACTTCTTTCCTGATCATAGGCGCGTAAAGACTAAATTCGCGACAATTTAATTAATTTAATTAATTTAATTATTTAATATATTATTATTTAAAAATTTTTTAATTTAATTTATTCGTCGAATTGATTAGGATTATTCGTGGGAAACATCCGTATCTTTCTTAAGATAGAAAAGATGACTCGCACTTATTAGTTCCCCGGGAATGCACTGAGCAATGATCCCATCTCGGCGATGGTTTAGTAACTGCGCGTGATGAAGAATTGCGAACTGCCGTGCTTATTTAAAGCGCGTCGCGTGTAATAGCTGGCAAAGTTACGGCCGGGGATATATCCGATATATACGTCGTCGACCGAGCACGTGAAAATCACTGCGCAATTTCTTATCGTCACGAGCTCTCGCACCGGATGACATTACATGGACCGCGCATGTAATGATGCGTCATAACAAGCCCTTGGATTATATAATGATGGTTCGCATAATAATTGAAAAAATATCGATTGACGCGGTTTAATATTTATTTTCGCTACATTAAGCACGAAAACTGTCGCGAATATGGGATATAAATATTTATTTATGACAATTACATGTTTGATAGCGCTTTACACATATTTTACATTCGAATGAACGTAAAAACAACAAGGTATCATTGTACAAAAATACGTAATATATTACATAAAAATATGTAAAATTACAGTGTAATTACAGTGTAATTTTACATATTTTTTATTATATATATTTTTTATATATGTGTAATTTTACATATCTTTTACATATTTTTATGTAAAATTACATAGGTGTAATTTTACATATTTTTTATTATATATATTTTTTACATATTTTCATGTAAAGTTACATAAGTGTCATTTTACATATTTTCAATTATATATATTTTTTACATATTTTTTTGTAAAATTACATAAGTGTAATTTTGTATATTTTTCACAATGTAGTATATGATAGAAAAATTAATGCAGCTAATTAAAAAAAATTATTCTTGTAATAAACGACAGATCAACATCGGAATATTCGTCCTACGAACGCGGCCTCCGAGAAGGATCGGGTCCAACGCGGCAAGAAAGACGCTGCATCGCGCTCGCGGATTCTCTTTGCGGGCGCATCTCGCGAGTACATACGTACGAGGCGTAGTGCGCCTGCAAACAAGGCCTTCCTCCCTTCTGTATACTTTTATAGCTCACGAAAGATGTTTCTCCCTCGCAACCGACACGCCGGAGCGCGCTCGCGAGAGACCACAAATAAATAATACATTTCTCGCGCGGCTCGATCGTAACGAGAAATCGTTCGCCGCCCTTGAACCGCGCCGAAGCCTGCTCCGACGGCCACCGTATATATGTATATGTACTCGTTCTCTCTCTCTCTCTCTCTTTCACTCTCTTGGCATTCTCATTAAGTCAATGCAACGTGGCAATGGCTAGTGTAGGTGCGTCCGTGCATCGACACTTTGACGCCACTCTGTGCTACGGTAGACTTCTTCTTCTTCTTCTTCTTCTTGTTTCGCATATTCCGAGGAATTGATTGGCAAAGGAGAACTTTCTATTAAACCGATCGACAGAATCTTCGAAGGATCATGTATATATATCGCGGAAATGCTAATAATGTATCGAAACTTTATCTCAAATATTTATCTCAAATGCATACGTTCGTGACAGAGATAAAATGTCGATGTTATCTATCACTTTCGATTTAACTTTAAGTACATTTGGACATCTCTAGCTAAAGTCCTATACATCCTCTTGACATCGAGAAAAATTTGCGATATCGCTAAAAAAATAAGTGCAATTAACAAAAGATACCTGATTATTAAATATGAAACTTGAAGCGATTTACTGATATTTTTAAAAATAATTTGATATTAAATAATTATTTGAAAAAATAATTCTTCTAAAAATGTTTGACACGTATATGTTTACGATGTTTTTGCAATTCTCATTTATAAAATACGAAAAGCAGGTTGAAACTCGTTTATTCCCTGACGAAAGACATTTAATTAAAATTCCGCACGTTTGCTTATCTAATTATTTACGAGGGGCCGATTTATTTGTTGATTTTGTGCATTTACAGCGACATTTGCGCGTAGCTTTCTCTCTACGACCTAAAGTGTTATTAACAAAATTATGATGAGAAGTAATAATTTCGTGATATTACGATAAGATAGGGCGGCGGTTTGGCATTTTATTCGTTTATTGCAAAAGTTCAATCGCGCGCATTCGTTAATCAGCGATGTAATTACAAGCAAATGGACGGCTGTCATATGCCGATATTGAAATAAAATCTATTACATTTCGATATTATATATCGAAACGATAGACGCACATTATGCGTTGCATAAGGGAAAACGGTGCCACATATATATAACGATGCTAGAGTTCGCGCGGTTGAAGAATCATCATTATCTTTCATCTAACGGCAGCACGTAATAAGGAATCCGCAGTTCCAATATATATTACGCCGATCGTAAATTTTCCGGGAACACCGCTAAACGGAGAATCGTATTTCCAGCCGATCGCACCTTTAGCTTTCCCGCTGCTCCTATTTTTCCCGGGTTGACATGTAATTTATACTTAATAGCGAAACCGGACCGTCGCGCCGCGGTTTTTACCTCGCGTCGTATCTCATATTTTCTGCGCCCATAATTCGAATTTTCTCTCGCGAAAATCGGGCACGATTACAAACCGTACATCGCGATACGCCTTATCTCATAATTAGAAAAAGCGCTGGTTCCTGCAACATTCGCGGCCAATAATCTCGCGTTTCGCCCGAAATATATCGCTGCTCTCTGGCTCATAGGAAATGGAACTTTGAATCACATAATAGCCACATATAGCGCGAATTTGCACATTTTAGGTGTATATACAATATATAATATTTTCTTTATTATTAATTTTTTTCTATCATATACTACATTGTAAAAAATATGCAAAATTACACTTATGTAATTTTACAAAAAAATATGTAAAAAAAAATATATATATATATATATATGTATAAATCTAAATCATAAGGAAGGCGTATATATATATGGTATATGTATATTTCTGCGAAATGCTATCACGAAAGGAATCATAGAAGAATTCGCGAAAGTAGATAAAGTTGAAAGACCGAACTCGGTCTGACAGCAATGTGGGATCTGCAAGAATGAGAGAATTATGAAAAAACTTGAAGACGGCAAGTTTAAAAATTTCAGCCCTACTGTCCTTGGGGCGGGACTGAAATTTAAACTTCCACGAGTTTCACAGAGTACGTCTCTATCCCCCAACAACTTATATTCTACATAAACTTAAAAAAAATGATTTCATTTCTCTCATACGATTTAAATTCCTCCGAAGAGCAAAAAGGGGAGCATATTATTTTAAATGAGCGTTATGAGATCTCTAAAGTTACCGGACGACATAAACGATTAAGCAAAAAATCATTGCTACAACATTATTATTGTTGTCAAGCATGTAGTTTTTAACATGGTATGCAACATTATTACACGGAGAGAATTTTCTCTTAGAATTTACCCTAAAAATCATGTAATTGTGGGACAATACGATATTGGAAGCATTTTATAAGAATTTCTTTGATTAATATTTTTATTGTGGTAAATATTAATCAGAGAAATTCTTATAAAATTTTCCCAATAGTATTGTATAGTGTATAGTAAAATTAATCAAACATATTTTATATCTTATTGTAGATATTAATATTTTTAGTGTAGTAAATATTAATTGGAGAAACTTATAAAATTCTCCCAACACCATATTGTCCCACGGTTAACATGATTTTGAGGATGAATTCTAAGGGAAAATTCTCTCATTAGAGGTTTCGGTAATGTTGAAAGTAACGTTTTTAAAATATTTTATTAATATTTTGAGAGCATCATGTTATTAAATAATATGTTTCAAACATTTATAAAACATCAGTTAAAATATTTTTTAAAATATTTATTAATAATATTTCTTACATATTTATAATATATTTTACATATTTTTATGTAAAATTACATATGTGTAATGTTACATATCTTTTACATATTTTTATGTAAATTACATAGGTGTAATTTTACATATTTTTTATTATATATATTTTTTACATATTTTCATGTAAAGTTACATAAGTTCATTTTACATTTATTAATAATATTTATTTATAAATAATATTTCCAACAAATTTATAAAACATTATATCACAACGTTTAGAAAATGTATATAAAATCAACATTTCAAAATGTTGATTAAACATTTCTTGCTTACCGGGGAGAGGCTTGGCAAACGCGTGAAGTCATTCATCAGTTTTGACGTTCGATCTGATTAATTATTCTCGTTCGTCGCTGCCATCTCGTCTCGTTCGAAATTCACGCGTGCATTCGTCCTATGCACATCGGATAGATCGGTGTGCTTGTCCGACGCGACGGCTCGATAATAGGTAGGAGAACAGAAAGAGAGAAGCGGTCGCGAGCCGGGCCGAAAATACGCGTCGCGAATCCGCGTGGACTCTAATTTCGTCGGGCGCCGCAGACACCACGCGGTCCACGAGTCTATTTCCTCGTCGTCAGGCCGGCTTCTAGGAGGCATGCGGGATTTCTCAGCCGGGAGAGAGGAGACGCCAAGAGAGAAATGCCACGGACGTAACGGACTAGTAAATCCGTCTAGGCTCCTCGGCGCTTGTAGATCTAGATGGAACGTGAGAGAGATCATGAAGTGGCTGTTTAAGTCGAGACAGAGAGAGAGAGAGAAAGGTTATAGCTAATTACTTGGCAGCGCGATGCTTGACAATGCGTCCGTGTGTCGCCGTAGTTGCCGTCGTCGACTTGTTTGAATTTTCTAAAGGCGGACGAGCGAGAGAGAAAGGACGGGGAAAGGCTGCCGCGTGGTAGACCACGTGGAATGCAAAATAGAGCCGCAAATCTGTCAGCGATCAAAGGCGAGGGAGAGACCCGTCTCGGCATTTCTCGGGGCCGTTCACACACGGAGCTCTCTCGCTCGGCCTCGCTTCGCCTTTTGTCGGCGTAGATGCTAAATCAAAGATCCGCCGCAGTCTAATTAATTACGTAACGCCCCGTGGATCGAACGCTCGACGCCCGAAAGAGGCGCAAAGAAGAGACGGCGAGATGCGATCGCGCGTGCCAGCTTTTAGCATCGTGCAGAAAATAATACATTGTGTATGGGGGTCGCGTATAAAATTGTCCCATATACAAATTATTCACTATATAATATCAAGACGTACTCAAT